ACCTTTGCCTTTTTTTAAAGTCAACACCAAAGGGCTTTTTTTCCAAAGTTTTCTCGGCCCCTTTCAATTCAATTATTTGGGATCACGTACAATCACACTAACAGTATTTTTTCGAATTAGTACACTGAGAGGCTAACTGAATAGTATGCTGTGAAAGGACATTATTTCCACTACTTGACTTGTTCATCATAAGCTCTTTAGCTTGAGATTTTATCAAGTCCATTATAGCACGTGTCCACCCTTCATTATCTGCAGCAAGGTTTGCCACTTGCACAAAAGCCTGACACATATCGTTGTAACACAACTATCCAAGAGCACTAACCAACTTGTCTTAGTTCATTGGGACTATGTGTGTTCTCTACCGGCATCTCTCATCCATTTCCGTAATATATACCTCTCTGACAGTGATGTGATATTTTACGAATTAAGACTGTGATCGCATGCCTGCAAATTATTTTTCGAAACTCGGACAAGTGGTAGTTACAAATAATTTCACATCTCTCTCTCTCTCTCTCTCTCTCTCTCTCTCTCTGAAATGAGACAAAAATCGTTTTCCTATTCCTGTGTTGTTGGTGCATGATATCCTCTCGTACCTCATACGTAGTCACCGAACAACCCTCCAAAGCAGATATCAGGTTGCAATAAACCTTTCTCGTGAACTCATCCTGAACTTCCTTGAATTTTAAAATGGTAAAAACTGACTTAAATTGTTTTTCAATTTCATAATTTGTTGCACGTGGAAATCAGCCTGAAATATCTTCTCAACCTTATTCCTTAGTACTCTTTCGTATTGTTCGACAAATTGTCTCAACAAGGTCTTCGAATGCACATACCAGTTGGAGAACGCATTCATGTTCTCACTTCTTTGTGTTGTGGACATCGCTACCCATAAAGTGGTTGTCAAAAAGCAAGGAACCCACAACCTCTCTTCTTGGATAGACCTAACAACCAATCATTATTGTGCAAGTCATACTTATTGATCATCGCACTCGAACCTTTTTCAAATTGTCTGCAAATCATATACCAATCCGTGTATAGCCGAAAATATCAAAGACTTATCAACGTCATAACCAAACTTGTCTGGCAACTTCTTCAAAATGTGCCAAAAACACCATCTATGCTTTGTATTTGGAAA